CCAGGGACCGTCAGTAGACGTAGTCAGTAAGTTTAGCTTTTCGAGCATTGAATTGAGTAAAAATCTCTCATCCTATTCTCTGCTATGAAATTGAAGTCAAATTAACAATAATACGGTGTTTTATGTAATTTAGAAAATATTCATAATTAATTACAAGTTATTAATGGAGTCAGAATCGAAAATTATTTACTATTGATTCTATTGATTAATTTTATAGTCTGAATGCATGATAGTATATGATTGATTGATTTTATATCTTTGAATGTATGTATTGTTTGTTTTATGTGTTTACAGTTGAATTAGAAAAAAATAGAGATTAAAGAAAAACGAAAATTGTGTGATTAAATGAATGGATGAAACGAGAACCTTACTGGATATCTTGGGAGATGGTGGACCAATCGGATAAATAGGAAATCCTACCGTGAACGTTGCCTCATACTGGATGGAATATTGAGACTTGATAATTTGGTGCTTATTCCAAACGAGGTATGGGGACGACCCATTTCACCCTCATACCGAACGGGGTATTGAGGTTTAGTAGTTTGGCGCTCATACCAGATAGGGTATGGGGACGACCTGTTAATTGAATGTGTTAAAAGTAAGAGTTCACGCATTGTGGGAACATCCCTATGAACTCCTATTGATACCAGTGGGCTGATAAATGATAAAATTATTGTTCCAATCAATTACACATGAAATCATGATCTGTGTTATATTATTACCTCTATAAGTTATTTTGTAAATCTCGCTACGGTAAGTAAATTGTAAATAATTTTGTTTATGATAAATGAATTTGCTTAATTAAGAGCTTCATTTGTTGTTTTGATTTTTCTACCAACCTTCATTTTTGTATCGGTGAGTAGCGTGATATTTTTACTGGGTTAGTGTAACTCATTCCTTATTTAATCATTTCAGATCAAGATGACTAGGATATAAAGCCTGATCCACAAGAGGATTGCGAGTAGGATTTCAGTTTTATTTATTTTCCGTTTATTCCTTATTTTTTTTTTTGTATTTCCTTCAAAATGATAATTGTCCGTAGTACTATTTGGTACTTTAAGTTATTGTGTTAAAAATGTAAACTCTAACTAATTATTTCGCTTCCGCACTTAATTTATAATTTATTTTCTTTGGAATTACAATATCGTTATAAAATAACTCGTGTTTTAAATTTTATATAGATTAACATATTTCGTGTGCGTGTGCCTTCTTTAAATATTTCTTTTTTCCTAATGTTGTAAATAGGCGTGCAAATCACTAACCTACCACTACAATCCATAATTATGCGTGGTTAATCATACTCCATCCAATTAATTATTTAGAAACATGGGAGAAAAACGCTGTCCTTAATGAAGTTAAAAAAAAAAATTAAATATATATTCTAATAACAACATTTATATACTAATAAAAAATATAGTGATAATATACATAATTATTCAATGAAAATACACACATAATACATATACGTGTAAACAATTAAATTTGGAGTTATCCAACACAAAAGTGATTTCAATTTAATCAAAAATAATAATAATAAATTCGTTAATTTTTGTGGGTTCTCCAAAATTTTTGCATTATTGATTTTTATTGAAAAATAAATAAGAATTTATAATATTTTATAATAAAAATAAAATATATTATATACAAATAATAAGTTAGTCATTTCACGAATAGAAATATTTTTTTCAATCACACATTTAGTGTAACGCCCTGATTTTTTTTTCATGTTGGACATACTTAACAAGCAACCAATTTCATAACCAAACGGTCATGCACAAGGAAACACTAGTATAATCCATTATTCCATGATCGAGATAACCTACAATTATGTATAAGACATCTCACACAATACAACCATACTCAAAATCTATGCTATCATCAATTCTACATATTCCATTCAGTCGAAACAAAACGAAACTCCTCATCCTGTACTCTACACACTAGGATCGGAATCCAACAGCTTCGATCCAGACCCCGTCCCTACATCATCTGTAAAAAGGAAAGAGTGAGTTCCTTTAACTCAGTACAGTAAAACTTGAAAATATATGCGTGAAATGCAACAGTATAAAACCCTATGCCTCTACCAATCGTTCACTACTGAACTCAAATTTTCACTCCTGCACCTACAATTCTACCTACCCTAGGCATCCGTTCCCCGACGGCACTCCAGGCGTGCCAGTGATACCATTCATCGCCAAGGTTGGCAACCATTAACCACCTATCGACCCCTAGTGGGCCACGCACGCACACGAGTTTTATCATTTTCGTCACCAACAGCGGCGACCATCCGTCACCTATCGACCCCCATCAAGCCACACACGCACACTCTAATCATTC